TAAAACCTATTTATCAATATCATATTTTGGTAACTAACCTTTGAAAATACAAGCCATTATAATGGCTACATAAGCAATCAATATCTATAAAGATAATATTATAGAAAAGCCCTTATTTACCACTAAGATTTAGATCAGGAAGGCCTCCCTGTCAATGTTGTATAAAGAGGATAAAATGGCCGACTATCCTACCTTCCCAGTGATTAATCACCAATCTAACATTCTTATAATAACCCTAACTATAACCAAGGCTCAAAGATCCACACAATTAAATGACTTGATATCCACCCTCCAACATTTAGAAAGCTCTGATTTATTAAATACCAGGTCTCCCTCAATTCTGGAGAATATATAATAATACCAGATGGCCCTAATGCACATAAGAATCTTATAGCTTGGAAGATCCTTCTAACAAACTTACAAAATCTTATTATCCTTATTAAAAAAGGATTTAATATTATATAATATTATCCTCTGTGAGCTTAACAGATGTAATAAGGCCATCAAGCTCCTTAAAATATACTTTATAAATCAGGTGTAAACTAAGCTCATTTTTGCACATACATATCTTTTAAGATACATACATACATTACTACAAGGAAAATCTATAGATAAAACATCCCTAAAAATATTTAATGAAATCTACAACAAGCTTAGTCATTCTAATCCCAGAAATTATTTTGAAAAAATAGATCATCTTTCCATTCTGATAAGATATACCATCATCCAACATATCAATTATCATATCAAAACCACTTTAAATACATGGAAAAATATGTTTGTTATCTCTACGGCATGGCTCTCTACTAGTTATACAAACATGATTATATATTATTCTATATATAAATTAAAAGGAAGGAGGGGAAATCAGATTTTAATAAACATCTTAGCAAATCATACAAAAACATTATTTTCTAAAACAAGCCAGCAATACCATTTCCTCGGCTTAGGATCTCTTTGACCAGATATCTTAAAAGGATAGTAATCTATTTATGACAAGGAAGTTATTATTCCTTTACTTAAATAAATTAACTAATTTACATATTTTCATTAATTCTTAGTAGGTTGGCTCATCTTTGCTTACATTCACTTATAAAAGGAATATTAGGGCCTCTTATCTTCTCATATCTTTAATTAATATATTACATTTAGGATACCATTTTATATGTTAAATTTTATTTATAGAAATTATGGCTTTAAATATGCTTGCCTAACATATTTAGGCTTTAATTACATATTTTAACCATATTAACTAATTATCTTTAGGTCATAATTTATCATTGATCTTGGTTTATTTATTTATTTATTAACATGGCTTGGCTTACATTCTTGATTATTTATATATTTAGGTACCTAAGTATATCTCTAATAATATATGTATACCTATATATCCAGATATCTATATATCTGTAAATATAATGTCACATGCCATTTCATGTTTAACATACACAAAATAAGGAAATTAAGAATATTTAAATGCTCTTATTTTCTTAATTAATTTATTTATCCATTATGATTGATAACAAAATCGCTTCATTTTTCAATGCTATTAGTCATTATTTACATTGTCTTCAATGGTTATTTCAAATATAAGAATAGGTGTAACTTTATGATGAAGATTTGAATAATAAAATCTTCCAAATTAACTTCCTTACATAATTTGCATACCAAAACTTGAAATTAAATGTAAATTCTTCTATACATTTTATTAGTCAATCCAAAATGTAAAAGATTCTAGATAAATTAAATAATCAATTTTTTGATTCTAGAAAAGCAATCATCTAGAAGATCTATAAGACCTTAGATAAACAAAATAAGGATCAGATATTCAATTGGAAACACAGAATCTCAAAAAAACATACTTATATACCTATTCACCATTTATAATATATAATTCATATCATCATAAATCCCCATATTGAATCTACATCAACGATATGCTTACTATTGTCAAAAGGGCCTCAAGTTCTGCTAATACCATACCCATCTTTGATATCTCATATAGAAGCATCTAATCTTCAATCCCTTAAACTATCTTTAATAACTAAATATATATTTGTTAATCCTGTTCTTTTAGAAGTTAAGGAGCTCTTTTTTACATATTTATTTAAGGTTTTTAAGAAACTTAATTCAGCTAGGTGGGAGATAGCTGCCATTGCAATATTATATTCCTGTGAGAAGGAGAATTTTGAAATGTATATATATGTCCAGAATAACAAGATGAAGAATATTGCCAGATCATTATTTGGTATACTTTTTAAGATACAAATTGGCTATCGGTATCTCACCTTTAATATCATTCATATTATTCCTAACCCGGCTACCACTATATAAAGATGCTTTATATCATTAATTAATTCTTTTTTTGGTAATACTCTAGGGGATACAATTTCCGCAAACACATTATACAAAGATAATATGAATAAATTATCGGAACAGATAATAACAGTATCCTTAATGATATTATATAAAACTAAAGAATCAGGTCTTCTCTTGTTAATTATAGATTTAAAAAAAGGAACAATAATTACAAATACTTTATATAATTGATTTTATATTTTAACCAATCCATTTTTCCTTTCTAAAAAAACCTCTATCCTTTCTGATATCTTACTTTGCCTATTATAAGTAGGATAGATTATTATTATCATTTTATTGTTGTTAATATAGACCTGAATGAAGTAAACTTTCTAATAGATTTTGTAACCTTTGCCATTAATCCATCTTGGTGTTGTTAAAGATTCTTAGAAAGAGATAGTTATATTTAATGTCTCTGACCTAAAAGATTATTAAATATTAGCTTATTTTTCTTATGTAATATTATTAATATATATTATTTGTAATTGTGAATTAATTGGAATCTAAAGGGGTAGATTGGAGATTAACATTGAATAAAAAAGGGTAAGATCTGTAGTTTCAGAGTTTTATAAAGCCTTATAAAATTTCTAAAAGTTATGTAATGTGGGGGAATTTTGAAGAAGATATGTGTTTATATGGTATCATGTGATTATTTAACATATGGCGGTTATTATATAACCAGTTTTTTAATAACTTTTTAATTAAACCATTGTAAAATCATGTTTAAAAAAAAATAGAATGGGATAAAGCAGATATAGATAAAGATAATTATCAATACTTTTTATTTTAAATATTAAAAGTCTTGTTTTTAAAATAATTTAAAACCTTCCTGTAAAAGCCTATTTTCCCTTCTATAAATAGATACATGATTTTAGCTAAGTCTTGAATATTTTTGTTAGAAAATATATGAGATAATTTATTATCTATGTAAATCTTTTTTTTAACTTTTTTTATCATTGTTATATATGCCTTTTTATCTTCCTATTTCTTTGCTTCATCTTGGTTTAATGGCCAACCTGATTTATCATATTGTTCTGGTGGATTAAAAAGGTGAGATACCATTTTTAGGAAATAAGGAACATTGCTTAACTCCTATGGTATAGTATATGTCCTTTCTTAATTAATTATCTTCAAAATATTGAAGGTATTATTGATAATAACATTATTATTGAATAAATCAGCATGGCGGATTGGAAAAGGACCTTTTAATGTAAAATGTTTATTATTTATAACTAACTTAGCTAATTGATTTGGTAATTCCTTGATTCTTTGGAGGATCTTATTAATTAATAATGATGGTATATATTTATAAAGGTATTTTTCATTATATGGAAATGTTAACCTTTTTGTTAATATCTTTATGAAAGATGTTGCTATATTAAATGGTCTATTAATATCAGGGATAAGCCCAGTAGTAAAACTTCTATTTATATTATGAATAACAATTCCAATCTTTGGGAGGCAGATTGACATGATCTGAACCTATATGACATTAATTTTTTATATTACCTATCCTATAGGAATCCTTATATGGGTTATAACCATTAAATGATAAAAGGTTAGTTGATGTTTATATGGTATAAGGCTTCCTTTATTGTAGCTATGAGCTTCATCCATAGCAGTGTTGCCTGGAAAGAACTTGAGTAATGCAAAAACAACATCAGCTTATATATTATCAAGTTCAAAAGCAAAGACTCGGGGTACTAAAATCGTGTGATACCTAAGCAAGGCCATAGTATGAATTTCAATCTGTAATTTATTAATAATTATGGGAATAAACTTTTGCAACTAAATGTGGATAATCTAGTGAGTCCTATTAGAGAATTTAAACAACTGTACAAGACTATTATCATTGCTTATGTAATATAGAAGTGTTTTATAGGGTTGTCCATCATTGGTATGTAAAATATTCTTACATATAATATCCCAGTTAATCCTTTTCAAATAATCCTTAATCTAAGCCAGAAAAATAAGGTTATTAATCCATTTAAGTGAAATAGGGACATTATCAAGTGGCATAATATAATAGGGTTAAGGCAGGTTAATGTTGATAGAAGTTACTATATTAGGAGAAATGTTAAATAATTATAAAAATGGGGGACCAATAATTTTCTATCCTGGATACCCTAATTTTACTATAGAGTAAATAGATATTAATCTAAACCAATGGTTGGATTAACATAATTCCAGGATTTTTAAGATATCTTTGATTTTGAAAACCCAAATTTTACCTAAAAATAATAAGATATATATATGTAAGTCTAGAATATCTTCATCTATTTGGTAAACCAGTTAATTTTTAAAAAAATTTTATTGATTTTTAAAAGTTTTCAATGATTTTCTAGGTTTGAATTAATTTGATAAAGTTAAGTCAATGAAATCAAACAATTATTTAATTTATTGAGGTAAGGGTTAAGTCAGGGGTTGATTATATGTTAATTAGATTTAAAAGAAAGAGAAAGAGTTATAACATGAGGATTTGATAATACATTCATGTATTTATCAATTAATTAATATATCTAGGTAGATTCTGAAACTAAATATGAAAAAGATAAAAAAATAAAATTGTTTATCATAATGATACAAGATAAAGGGGTAAGAAATAGGAGAAAAAAATAAATATAAAAAACCGAAAAGAATACCATCACATCCCGGACTTAAACCAAGAATCTTTAGTTCTATTATCTGGAGTAGGAGACTAATAAATTACCATTTCTCTAATATAGTTGCTTATACCATTCGTCCATTCGCCGTTTCATGTTATTTCATGCTGGTAATAATTATTATTCAAATTTATTAATTAACTACAGAAAGAAATATAGATATATACCTAAAGTACCTAAAGATGAATATCATGAATTTCTTATGTATCTACAATTAGCTGCTATCCAAAGATACATATATCTCTGCTTGCCTACCTGTATCTACATATATAGCCGCTCTATATGACTACCTAACATTCTAATAATAAACCCCTGTTTTAACTTTAATTTGATTCCTAATTGTCCTATAATTTATCAACAAATAAATATCTCCTATTTATTGATTATAAATATTATTTCTCCTATTTATGTTTAATATATATAATATCTTGATTTATTAATTATAAACATAGCCTCAATGTAATATTAATAGATTTCTATATCTGGTAAAACCTAGTGGTAATATTAATATATTGAGTTAATAATATCTTCAAGGCTATTTCCTCATGAAAGTACCAGTTATTTTAAATTTATATACATATATATACATATACATATATAAATGTATATAAATTAATCAAAGATATAAAAACCTATACATATCTCTATTTAATCAATATAACCCTTTTCCAAATTCTTTACTATAATCTAAGCTTAACTTAGGCTAGATAATTAACAATATTATCAATTAAGTATTCCCAACTGCACTTTAGGTATTTCTCCCCTTTTCTAATCCTTATCTGATCATAATTAAATATTTAATAGGTTATAATTATGTTTATGGATATTAAGTCCATCATTGCATTTCTTCCATCCTTGACTATCTTATTGCCACAAAGTGTTTGATAGGCTATGATGCTTCTAGATACCAAATTTATTATGGTATCTATGATATACAGATTTTAATAGATCAAATTAACTATTCTTATCTTAAAAAAGGGCATTCAATGAAGACCAACTCTTGGTTTACAAAGAATATAATGTTTTTTAATATTAGGTTTTTAGTGATAATAGGTTTTTATTAATTGTTAAATATTGAAATGAAATTAATCAACATAAGAAAAAATTTATAAATTTTCTTATAACCAAATAAATATATAAGATCTTACAATATTATCACCTTAAGGGATCATTAGGATATTCAAAAATAAAACTATCCAAACATTACAACCTATTAAAAACCATATACCAGGGAAAGATATATAAGCCACAAATTAACATAATATAATCAGTTACACAGTTGCATAATTACTCTATAGGGGGGTATAAAATATGTTAGACTATTAGATATGCCAAATTTCAATTTTATATACAATCCATATCTGCCATAATTTACATTGTCATAAGGTGTATGTTTTAAATGGTAAAGTAATAATACAAACGTTTCTCCTTAGGCTCTGTGCTTTATTGATACCCCTTGTCTACGTTTAACTTGCATCTTTCTCTTGATTGTCTCTTATAATTTGTACAAGGGGAATATAATGATGCCTAGAGAATCGATGGTAACCTGTGGTAAGAAATGTATAAAGCCTATGAGAAGGTATAGTAGCTATATAAATATAGAGATATATAGATGGGTATTATATTTAAGGTTAGGTATTATTAGAAAGGATATTCTAGCTCAGGATATAAAGAATGACCTCATTATATAGAAGAGAATCCTTGTTATTTCTATAGAATGGCTTCCTATTGGCTATACTAATTTGATCATATATCATTCCATGAACAAACTTGAAATCAGAAAGGGAAATTATGTTTTAACATATCTTAATTTATTAAATATCTATTAATATTACTTTCTAAGTTTAGACTCTATTTGATTAAACATTATTAGATAATAATATTATATATAGGTAAGATCTAATTATATTATCTATCTAGATTTATTTATGATTTTAATAATTAATATCTATATGATTCTATAGAATAAGAGGTTATAAAAAAGGATTAGACCCTTATGTTCTATATTAAACTTGATATTATAATAGATTATACCATCATTTATATAAATCAAACCATCAATACAATCCTCTTAAAGGAGATACCTTAATCCTTATTAAATATAAAGTTATCATAGGTTGTATATATCTAGGATAAGGCCTTCTTAATATTATAGGATTCTATTATATCTAAGGCACATATGTAAGTAATATTAATATTGGACTGGTTAGATAAAACCTAGTCTTGCAGATATTTGTAAGATAATATCTTTATTTTATAAATATGACCTGTAAATGTATATTAAAATTACATCTAAATTCACCCCATTTTGTAAAGAATATTTTATAAAGAGCCACATTACCTTAGGTAAATAATATCCTTAGTAACCTTTGTTCCCTGAGGGTGCTTAATAACTTATTCTAAGGCTAAATTATTCAAGGAATCTACTTACTTGAAGACATTATATACATAAGAATAATCCTATAATAGCCTATTAAAAATATATTATTATTAAATAAGTAAAGAAGGCTAGATTAAATATCATTTAGAGGTGGTAGGCTTTCCTAGGTAATAGATATTTCATTAAGCCATATATAAACCACAGTCACAAACCATAAGGCAACTATAATAAATTTTATCCATAAATAGGCTACCCTTTATCCCCAATATACCTATTCCTATTATCATATCTCCTACCATATATTTAATATCTCCTTATCTATATTTTGCACATTTATTTGCTTGAAACCATTTTACTTATGCTAAACATAACTAAATACATCAAATATACTAAATAATATACCAAACCCCTAAACCCCTAAATTCCAAAGGCATAAATAAAGAAAAAATATATCTACACTATTTGGTTCTTATCTATTTCATTATCATAGGCAATTACCAAATTATATTACAATATAGGGATTAAATTTATTCACTAAACTACCTTTTAATAATCTAATATTTATAATATTTCCATATAATATTTCTGCAAATATGCTTCAGAAAGATATTGCCATCACTTTCTCAAACTATTTTTAAAAGACCTCAAAGCTTTCATATCCCTTTTCAGATTATAAAGATAAATTTCCCACCATTAATAAAAGGATATGAAATCATCTGCAATTACATTATTAAGATCTCTTAACACAAAAGGATATGCCTAAACTTATTCAAAAGATCAGAAATGATAGCCTTATGGTCCAAAAAGGCCTACCAAGAGATCCAAGACAATTTAGGGACCCTAATCCATTTGCAAAAGAAGATTCTGAATCTCTTAAATTAATTAAAAAACCCAAAACCCAGCTAATTACTTAAAAACAATTGATTATTAAGGTTAAAGACATATACACGGGACTTATTATAATAGAATCTAAATGTATTGAGGTTGATAACACCTAGTTAACAGAAAATAAAACAAAACTTAATAATAAATAGTGGCAGGCATTAATTGTACTACACAGGATGTTGCTTTATGAGCATCATAATTTTTTTTTTACCTTGCAACATCCATTAGTCAGCCAGGTGTTAAGATAGTTAATATTTAAATATACCATATCAATAAGGATGTAAAAATATGGTATATATTTCTTCCTTGAATTATTATGCCATCACCTATTTTATTCTTTAGAGCATATGTTTATGTTTATTTACTTAATATATTTAATGATAACACTTTTATATGAAATTATCTCTACTTTTAAAAAGATATGGATAAAATGTTTAGGGGATTTAGGAAGATATAGGTTAGTAAAAGGTGATAAAATAATCCCTATAGAATATTTATAATAGATGGTATAGAATAGTGATTAAAGATGATGATATCTGGGATAAAGAAGTTTGGATATTTGTGTCCCAGGATTGGTACTTGAAAATATCTAATAAGATGCTTTATATAAGAAGAATTTATTATCATTTTATAATCTTTGCCTAACCAAATCCCTTTTAATAACTATATTATTATATTAAATCCTTTTATGTTCTAGATCCATTTAGTTTAATATAAGAATTGATTATGATTTTGTTTAAATCTATTCTGGACCTAATTAGTATTCAATATTTTCAGCTTATTACGATTGATATAGCCTTTATAAAGGTGCATAGGATCTTGTTTAGTAATAAATATGCTGACAATTTCCTTCCAACAGTTAATAAGTTCTGTAGTATGCTGGATAACTATATTAACCAAATTACTAAGAAATAAATGGAATTAGGGTATGTTTGACCCTTATTATCATTCTTCAAAAGTATACTAAGATTTAAATAGCTATTATATTACTATTTTGAATTATTATGGGTTTTTGTTATACAGCCAAGAAGATAATAATATCTTTTTAAAGATATTATATCCCTATATGGAAGATAAAACTAAAGAAAATCCTCTAACTTTATATAAACTAAATATGATAGAAGAAAATGTATTAAGACTTTTTAAAGATATTTATAATATTATTTTTTATAAATGGGGAAATCTGAATATAAATGATATTTATAGGCTTATTAATTTTTATAGCTAATATCCCATAGATCCTCCTATTTTTCTATGTTATCATGGTTTTTATATTTTATTTCAGATATTACCTAAATATAATATCTATTATTCAGAAGATAATCCCCTAAAAACTAATCTTATTCTAATTTAATTTTTTATTCCTCTTATATAAAGAACATCATAAAATCCATAATGAATAATTCCCTAAATAAGACAAAAAAATTATTCTTTATCCATTACCAAAAGATTTTACCATAAAGGGTTTTGGCTAGATAAATAATTATTTCCTAATAGATTAATTTAATAATGACAAGATCGACAATGATAAGAAGTATTTTAAAATTACCTCTCTGATAAACAACCATAAAAAGAAGATCCTATGGCTAACATATTAAATCACAAAGCTTAGTAAATAACTCACTTATAATAAGATATTACATCAATTCAACATTATCTTTAAATATAAAAAGGAAATAGGAAATATTGGGGAAGATATAAATATAATAGATATAATTGATCTGATTATTAGTAATTCTACCAATTTGGCAATTACTATAGGAAACACAGCATCTGAAAAAGATGATGAAGATATGGTG